CCTCACATACCCTCCTTAAATGACCATCACCCACCCATTTCCCTTCCAGCAACCTCCTCTTTGTTTCTTATAGTTAAGAGTCTCTTACAGTTTGCCTCCCTCTCTGATTTCATCTTATTTTATTTTTCCCTCCTTTTCCCAATGATCCTCTGTTTTGTTTCTTAAATTCCACATTTTCCCACTTTTTAAAATGAAATGAAAAAAAAGTAAAAAATAAAATGAAATGGTAGCTCCTCTTTAACTGCAGACAGAGCATGCCCAAAACTAATTTTGTAAAAGCTTCTTCCCTTGGCCAGATGTTGGTCCATTGCAACCTGGAGTCTAGCTTGATATTTATTGTCTATAGCTATAGCTCTACCTGTATGTGCCTGTACCTAAGCCTCACTTAAAGACCTCATGTCAACAAAGTTCTTTTCTTGCAACACTTCCCATTAGACATCACTCTCATTTGTAACTGATTTGAACCAAGGTTGAATTACAATCTTTTAAAATTTATAATTTATTTCTATGCCACACCTGCTACTGTGGAGTGTTTAAACAGAATGGCATTTAAGGTCTGTTTCTCCAATTGACTCTAAGTTCCCTGAGGGCGGGGCTGTGTCAGTTTGGGTTCAGGGTTGAATCACAGGCAATAGCACACGTAGAAGATGCACGCCCCCAATACGTGTACTATCTGAGGTATATGCGTTGTTAGAAATATATGCAAATTAAATTTACATCACATAATATAGTTTTGTCATCTTCTATTTAATAACTATCCACTGGTGGAGAGGTACCTGGCTGGCTCAGTCTATGGAGCATGCAACTCTTGATCTCAGGGTTGTGAGTTCAAGCCCTATGTTGGGTATAGAGCCTAGTTAAATTTTTTTTTAATTTTTATTTATTTGAAAGAGCTTCTCTGCACTCTTTCCCCTAGAGCCTGTAGACAAGGACCCAGGAGTCACCTCAGTGCTATAATACTCTAGGAAAAACTGGATGCCTTCCTTCCTTTACAAAATAAACCATAAGACCTACTCCTCTCCTGACTTCCTGTGGAAATAAGTGGGTCTTCTCCTCACGGGACCAGTAACTATATGCCTTGGTTGTGTTACCAAATAACATCCTGGGATAAAGGGAGAAAAACTTTGGGGGAAATCAATCACCTCTGGCTGGGTCCTCTCAGACCCACAGAAGTAGATCCATCCTTTGGAACCTCAGCTTCTGGCCTGTAACCACATCTCTACTCCTGCCAAGATGGAAGCTGCTTTTTCTGAATGCTTACTTATTTCATCACTCACAGCTGAGATGAGAGCTTCCTCTGGAAATCTTTCTTCAGCTCCTCACTTCTGAGAAAGGTGATCTAATAGCACATGTGTTCCTTTCACCATATGGTATTGTTGTGGTATTATTGTTGTCTGCCCCTCACTCCAAAACTGGAAGCTCTGAGAGGAAAGAGATTATGTTTGTCTTCTTCATCAAAGCCTAGCACAGTGCATGGCATGAGTGGGCACTTCAGAAATGTTGAATGAATTGTACTTGAAAACTGAATGACCTATTAACATTTTTCATAATAGTTTTATTTTTTTATAATAGTTTTAGAAATAAAATTCATCCTTTAAATGTACAAATCAGTGGATTTTAGCATAGTCACAGAATTGTTCAATCATCACCCTACTCTTTTCTTTTTTAAAGATTTTATTTATTTATTCATGACACACACACACACACACACACACACACACACAGAGGCAGAGACACAGGCAGAGGGAGAAGCAGGGTCCATGCAGGGAGCCCAACGTGGGACTCAGTCCCGGGACCCCAGGATCACGCCCTGGGCTGAAGGTGGCGCTAAACCGCTGAGCCACTGAGGCTGCCCCATCACCCCACTCTTAAGACCAAGGGGTCTGAGGATCAAGGCAATTACAACCGATTTTGTGGGAGAAGGTAACAGAGGCAAAATACCTGTAAGGGTCAGGGCCTAAGTAACACACTTTCCAGGAGAGTGAACACAAGAATTTGCTGGGGTAGGGTGGGGGGATGGAGGATGACATCTTTCAGACAATCAAGGTAATTTTACTGCACACCTTGCCGACTGTGGAGAGGTCTACAAAGGGCTGGGGAAAAGAAAAGGAAACTGCCAGATAAGCCAGAAAGAGAAGCAGAGGAGGAAAAGATGAAGGTTTCAGGAATGTGATTTCCAAGGTAAGAAATCCTCCTCAGTTTGCAGGAGGAAATCTCTGGGGAAGAGTCAAGGACCACCAAGGGTGATCCCACTCAGCCTGCTCCTGAGATGAGCAGATGGGTGAGACTCTACTAAGACTAGGCTTGGAGAACTCTTATTATCCCCCTTGGCTCAATACTAACGTCATGGGGAGAAGTGAAATCTTTACAATATGAAGTCTTTCTCTGCAAGCACACAGTTTATCTTTCCATTAATTTAGATTTTCTTTAATATCTTTCAGTAAAACTTTATCATTTTATCCACAAAGGCCGGCATACCTGTTCAATTTATTAAGTATTTTATATCTTTGTTGCTATTGCAAATGGTATATTATTAAAATGTGCACAACATTTAACAAAGTGCACAAATCAAGTATATACCTTGGCTTTATATATGTATATGTTCATGTAACCAAATGGGAAATATTTTTAAAAATGTATTTATTTGAGAGAGAGAAGGTGTGGACCTGGGGAAGGCAGGGGTGGGTGGTGCAAAGGGAGAGGGAGAGGGAGAGAGAGAGAGAGAGAATCTTGAGCAGACTCCCCACTGGGCACAGAGCTCAATGCAGGGCTCAACCTCACCACCCTGAGATGATGACCTGAGCTGAAATCAAGAGTTGGACACAACTGACTGAGTCATCCAGGCACCCCTTAAGTGGGAAATATTATTAAAAGTTATGCCTTCTGATGGTTGCTGCTGCTAGAATTGCAATAGATATTGTATATTGATTTTTGCTATATTGTTTTATATCCAGCAACCTTGCTAAACTTACCAATTCTATCTTAATTTTCTTTTGGGGTTGCTACACACACAGTAATTTCATCCATGAATACTGACGTTCCTTAGTTTTTTTTCTCAATCCTTATATATTTGTTGCTGTTGTTTATTGGACTGGCTAACCTTCCACTATTGTATTGACTAGGGTTATTAAGAGCAAGCATCCTTGGCTTCTTACTCAATTTTTTTTAAGACTTTATTTATTTATTCATGAGAGAGAGAGGAGAGAGAGAGAGAGAGAGAGAGAGAGAGAGAGAGAGAGAGAGAGAGAAAAGCAGGCTCCATGCAGGGAGCCGGACGTGGGACTCGATCCCAGGACTCGATCCTGGGACTCGATCCAGGGACTCCAGGATCATGCCCAGGCCAAAGACTGGCGCTAAACCGCTGAGCCACCCAGGGATTCCCTCAGTTCTCCCTCTTTACCCATCCATTAAGTGTTGGTCTTATCACCATCTCCCCCCCACACACACACACACACACTCCTCTCTCTTCTTTTCAAGCTCCTGCTTTTTGTAGGTTTCCTAGGCTATCAACCGTTGGGGGATGACCACCCAGTTTTCAGACACTGTCTCCCCCGTCTGCTCCCTCCACAAGCAGGTTTGAATTTAAGTCAAAGCACTGGAATAAGGACGCCTGGCTGCAGTTGAGCATCTGCCTTCAGCTCAGGGCGTGATCCCAGGGACCCTGGATAGATGGAGTCCCACAGAGAGCTCCCTGCATGGAGCCTGCTTCTTCTGCCTATGTCTCTGCCTCTTTCTGTCTCTCATGAATAAATTAAATCTTAAAAAGTAATAATAAAAAACTTCCCACTGGAATAGAAGATGGGTGGCTTGATTCCAGTTCTGTCAATCTCCAAAAATGCACCAAGACACAACTCCTCTTCCTTTCAGTCTCATCAGTAAAATCCCTGTCCCACCTCCAGGTTGGTTGGAAACTCCGACGAATAAATGCAGTACAATCACTCTGCAAATTCCTCGCAGGGGAAGGGTTTGATGTCTTTGACACTAAGATTGTTAGAGGTTGTGTGGGGTAACATATAGCTTGGATTTTGAAGCTGCTGGAATCTAGATCCACTCCCGATCATGAGTGTGACCTTGTGCTTGGATACCTAACCTTTCTAAGCCTACCTTTGTCCAGCTTGCAGAGAAGAGATGCAAAACACTCGACCGTAGTAAGAGCTCAATGAATTTAGCGATTATTAAGAGATAATGCACGTGCAGACAGCCTGAGAAGCATAAAAACGTCCTAAATGTAAGCAGTCTGCCGTCCGTGGGATGGAGGCTCCGGGGCCCTAAGGCAGCTCCCCGGCACCAGTACCGGCGCCCAGGTACCGAGGACATGGGGTGCCGAGGGGGACTGCCGGGAAAACCCCCCTGAGCCTCGAATCCCCACTGTCGGGCTTCCAGGAGCGCCAAGCTGCACCTCAAGTGTTTAGGTTTGGAGAAAAATGCCAAAATGGGGAGGGGGTAGACGCGGCCACTCTCACGCCACCGGCGGGCTCCTGCTCCCACTTCCTGGGAGCTTTAGGGACCTCGCCTCCGCGGCGAGGCGCCGAGTCACCAACCCTAATGGCACAGATCCAGCCGGGGGTAACGATCAGCTCCGCGCCGCTCTCGCTGGGGGCGGGGGGCTGCCCGGTCGCGCCCCTCCCCCTAAGCGAGTCCCGTGTGCTCTCGCGCGATTCCTTTCTCCCAGCGTTCCCGCCCCCACCCCAGAAGAGTTCGCGCGGCGCTGTCCGGGAATGTTCTGACGTGACGTGCTGCAGCCGGGAGCCGAGCGGAAGCGCAGCCCGACTCCGGCTAGAGGCGGGGTGGGCGGGAGAGGTGGAAGGGCAGCCGGAAGTGTGACCAGCCTCCTGCTCCCCGGCGCCGGCGAAGCAGGAAGGGGAAGGTGCCGGCCTGGCGGGGTGTGGCCTCGAGGGGCAGGGGGCGCTGCGATTGGTCTCGGCCGTGGCGACGGCGACGATTGGCCCTTGCGTGCGGAGGGAGGTGAGAAGGGTGGCGACGGTTGGAATTCAAAAGTGGCGGGTGTGGCGTCGGGTCGGTAGCCCCGCAGCCCCGCACACGCGTGGCTTGTGTCGCAAGCCGGCGAGAGAACGCGGGTCCCGGAAGCCCCGGCGCCCTGCCCTCTTCCAGCGGGCGCCCCTGGCGCGTGTGGCCCGGTGCTGGCCATGGAGCCGCAGGTGAGTAGGGGCCGCGAGGGGTCTCCTGCCCGCGACGCTGGCGAGCCCCCCGCTCCCGGCCGGCCTCGGTCCTGCCTGCGTGGAGAGCAGAGGCCCGTGCGTCCTCGCGCAGGGGACAGGCGGGAGGGAGAGGGCTGGGAGCAGCCCCGGGGCGTCGGGGTGCCCGTCTGCCAGCCCTCCCCGCTCTGACTGATGTCTCCAGGATTTTTCGATTTCGAATTCTCGGGCTTATCTGACTCTGTACCCACCTCTCCATTCCTGCCCAGCGATTGCAGTGTGTGATTGAGAAGAGTTCTGAGATTCCGTCTCCCTCGGGGAAGTGGTGCCTGAGGCCAAATCCCCGCTGATGATCTTTCCTGTTCTCTCCGGTTGCTGTCGCTTTGGAGGGCAGGAAGGGGATAGAGGGAATGCGGTAATCTGAATTGAAGGATTCCTCATTCTCTCTCCTTCGTCAGGTTTTACAGAGATCTCTGCCCCTGGGACTTAGTTTCTTCTCTTATCGGTGGCCCTACAGCACTTCACAACCATCAGCAGCCTCCCCTCTCCAGTCGAGAGAGATGTGTGACAGCCAGAGTGTATTGACTTTTGGTGCCAGAGAAATGCTCCTGCCTGGATCCTCTGTTTGCTAGTATTTCACATTCAGATTTACCCAAAGCAGGTTTCAGCCTGAAGAGACATTGTTTGTATCCCGACAGCTAAAGAGCAGATGAGTATGATGTGACCGTGAAAAACAGTAGAAGCCTTCTCATATTTACTGAGCACCTACTGTGTACCAAGCACGGTGGTAGATACTTGGGATGCAGCAACAAACAAGACAAATCCCTGTCATCCCTACAGATGCCATTCTATGAGAAGCTGCCATTCTGTGGGGAGCCAGGAAATACAAGTTACAGAACTCTATTTCAAAGTGATGAATGCTATGAACAGAAGGAAAAACTTGAGCAGATTAAGGAAGAGGAGGGGAGGCCAACTTGCAGGATACAGTATTAAATAGGGTGGTCTTAGTAAGCTCCATTATGAAGATGAAAGTTTAATAAGTACTTTGAACAAGATGATGGACAAAGGCTAGTGGCTACTGAGGGAAGAGCGTTCCAGGCAGAGGGAATCTGCTAGAGCAAAGTCCTTCAAGAATTGTGTAGCAAAAGCTAAAATGGAGTGAGCAAGGGGGCAAATTGTGGGAGGGGAAGTCAGAGCATGGAGAGTGGGATTGTCGACCCCATTGCTTCTTGTTGGGGCTTTGTTGTGAGGCGCTTGACTTTTGGATGGTTTTAAGCAGGTAAGATCTGTCTTACATTTTAAGAGGATCACTCTAGCTGCCACACTGAGAGTAAACATCAAGGGTAAGCAAAGAAACAAGGAGGACTGTTAGGAAGGAATACAGCAGTTTTTCTCAACTTCCATAATATTGACATTTTTACTGTAGGGGCTGTCCTGTACATGGTCTGATGGTAGCAGCATTCCTGGCCTCTGCCCACTAGATGTCAGTAGCAACTCCCACCTAATCAACGACAAACTGTCTCCAGACGTCATCAAATGCCCCCTAGGGAGTCAAATCACCCCCAGTTGATAACCAGTGGAGAATGATAACCTGAGAGGTGATGCTGACATGGATCAGGGTTGTAGCAGTGGAAGTAGTAACATGTGGTCAGTTCTGTCATCCTTTGCTGACATTAGATGTGGTATGTAAGAGAACGAGAAGACTTGGGATTTTTTGGCTTGAACAACTGAAAGATATATCAACTGGGATGGAGAAAGCTGTAAGAGGACCAAGTTCGAAAGGGATTTGGACATTAGGAAGTCCATTTGGATGTAAGTTTGACACGTTTATTGGACTTCCAAGTGGAGACATTGAGAAGGTAGTTGCATAGAAGTTCAGGAACAAGGTCTGGGCTAGAGGTATAAATCTTGGAGTTGTCAGCGTATGGATGAGAGTGCACTGGAATGTGGATAGAGAACAGAAAGACCACCATTAAAGTTTGGAAAGATGAGGAGGACCTGCCGTGAGAGATGGAGAAACCAAGAGAGGATGGTCTCCTGGAAGCTCAATGAAGAAAGTGTATTAAGGAAGTGGGAGTGAACAGCTCTATCAAATGCTGTGATAGGTCCAGAAGCAGGAAGATGCAGAGTTGACATAGCAACACACAATGTACTTGTGACCTCAAGGAGAGTAGTTTTGGTGACACAATAAGAGTGAAGGCCTGATTGGGATGAGTTTAGGAGAGAATCTGGACATGGTGAATATTCTAGCGAACACTTAAGGGTTTTGCTGCAGAGAGTAACAAAAAGCTGACAGGGAAAGCAGAGTCAAGAAACTCTTTTCAGGTTGGAAGAAATAATAGCATGTGTTATAATACAGATAAGAATGATCCATTAGAGTGAACAGTTGATGGTGTAGAGGAGAAATGGAAGGATTGGTAGGATTCTTTCCCAATAGATAGATGAAGGACTGGAGTCTGATGTACACATGGAAGGGAAGCATTTCTCTTATGCTTTTCATTGTGGATAGTTGGGAGTCATTGTGTCTGGCTCTATATCACAGATGGGAAGAGAATTAATACTGTATTCTTTGGAGTTGTCCTTAATAAACAAACCTTTGAGGGGCACATGGGTGGCTCAGTGGTTGAGCATCTGCCTTCGGCTCAGGTGATCCTAGGGTCTTGGGATCGAGTCCCACATCAGGCTCCCTACAGGGAGCCTGTCTGGGAGGGCAGGGATTTTGTTCATTACACTCACCTCAGCTTCTAGAACAATGTCTGGTCCAGAGCAGTCTTGCAACAAATCTTAGTGCAGAAAATCCTTATTGGATGAAGGAAGAAAGGAATGATGCATTTTCTCTGCCTGTCATATCCCTCATCATCTACTTCTTCACATTGCTTCACACTGCTTTTTTGGTACAAATCTAGTCTTACTACTCTCCTAACTAAAAACCACCATCAGGGTCCCTCTTGCCTTCAGTAAATGCTAGACTCCTTATCATGGCATACTACCTGCCATGCACACTCCATGTGTCATCTGAACAGAACAACTTGGCATCCTTGCATGCACCCGTCCTTGCTTTCTGCCTGGGAGGCTCCTCCTTGGCCCAAGTCCCCTGGCTAAGTCTTTCTCATCATCCAGGTTTTGCCTAAAAAGACTTTAGAGGTGTTCTCTGACACTCTCCGCATCTGAACTACATGCTCATTCCCTCCTTGGGGTATACTTTTTTTATGATACCACTCAGTAAAGTTTTAATAATCTCTTTAAAAATGCTTCTCTTCTCCATTTTCCCTGAGTATTTTGAGGGCAGGGATCACATCTATTATTCCCAAACCCAGATCATTTTCTGGCATAGTGAGGACTAAGAGTATTGATTGAATAAAGTGAGCCAAAGGGCAGAGAGACTAGCCTTGGAATTAAAAGTTAACTATAGTGAAAATTAAACATTGATCTGTATACATATTACTCTCCTGATGGTCATATAGGAGCAGGGTTTGCATAACCAGGACCTGGTTTTAGCATGGAAAAGTTCTCTGTCCTGAGAAACCCTTTAGTCCTGGGCAAGCTAGAATAGTTGGTCACCCTAGTCGAGAGTAGCCATGGAGTGGACATAATCATAATCTCTAAGCACCAAATTGCAGTGCCTAGGAGAGGATCTCTCCCACTGCCCCCGCCCAATACCTGTACTTTGGTGGTACATGTGTCATGCTGCTTCTTAGTTCTCTTCATGCAAGTCGGCCTACTTGTAACTCTTTTTTTTTTTTTTAAGATTTTATTTATTTATTCATGAGAGAGAAAGAGAGAGAGAGAGAGGCAGAGGGAGAGACAGAGGAAGAAGCAGGCTCCATGCAGGGAGTCTGACGTGGGACTCAATCCCGGGTCTCCAGAATCACGCCCTGGGCCAAAGGCGGCGCTAAACTGCTGAGCCACCCAGGCTGACCTAACTCATTATTTTTTATAAGTAGGCTCTTTTGTATACTTTTCACATGCCTGACCAGAAACTATATCTGGTTCTCCACATAAATGAGGCTAAAGCCTAAACTCCTTTGCCTGGCATCAAAGTCCTATGGGTCAGTCTAGTCTAGTGGTTAAAGACATGCACGGCCTCCAGAACCAGACTGTCTAGATTTTAACCGTGGCTCTACCTTTTACTCACTGATGAACTTAGATAAGCCATTTTACCTCTAGATGCCTTCCTTCCTCATCTGCGAAATAAGGCTAATAATAGCACCTTCTCAGTGGGCTCCTGTAAGGATTAAGTTGATACAGATGAAGCATTTAAAACAATTTCTAAAATGTTACCCGCTTGAGGTGCCCGGGTGGCTCAGTTGAGCATCAGGCTCTTGGTTTCGGCTCAGGTCATGATTGGTCTCAGGGTCATGAGATCGAGCCCCACATGGGGCTCCTGCTGGGTGTGGAGCCTCTCAAAATAAATAAATAAATATAAATAAAAATAAAATGTTACCTGTTCCTCCCATCTAGCCTTCAGCCTTACCCATCTTCCAGTCTCTCCCTTAACTGTGATCCTCCATTCTAGCTGAAAGAGCCTGTTGATTTCCCAGCCATATGTCATGTGCATGTTTGAAGTTTTGCCTTCTGAAAAGAGTGTCCATTTCTCTCTGCCTGTGTAGGTACTACCCTGAGAGTTAGCTGAGGTCCAGCGTCTGTCCAGCTCTTCCCGTAGAGATTTCTCCCTCTTTTGCATCATGTTGCACTTCTATCTTTTGTGCCTTTTGGCTGGTACATAATCCATGGGCCCCGGTTTGTACACGAGAGGTACTCAGTCAGTGCTTGATGGTGGTTGATAATTAGGCTAGAAGAACAGGAAGGGGAGTTCTTAGGACTTTTGGGCTCCAAGGGTTGTCTGAAGGGTCTCTCTCTTTTCCCAGCAGAGGTCCCCCTTGTTGGAAGTGAGGGGGAACATAGAGCTGAAGAAACCCCTGGTCAAGGCTCCTTCTCGGCTGCCTCTCCCTGGAACTAGGTTTAAGAGGGGGCCTGACCAGATGGAGGATGCCTTAGAGCCTGAGAAGGTAAGCTGGGTTTGGAAAGCTTTGCATGCACGTGTGTGTGTGTGTGTGTGTGTGTGTGTGTGTGTGTGAGAGAGAGAGAGAGAGAGAGAGAGAGAGAGAGAGAGAGAGTGTCTAAGCCAGTGAGGGAGACTAAATGGACTCCATTCTTGTCTACCTCCAGAAAAGGACACGAGGACTGGATACAGTGACTAAAATTGCCACATCCCAATCCAGAGCACCAGCCCTCACCGCAAGAACACAGACACAAAACCAGATCACAGGTTGGCTCTATGAATGGGCAGAAACCAAGGGCATGAAAGTCCAGCGCTCTTCAACTCACTTATTTCTTTTCTTTCAATTTTAGCTAATTTTGGATAAGTAATAGGTTTCACTTGTTTCAGAATTCCAAAGGCACAAGGGGCGGGCTGGGTGGCTCAGTGGATTAAGCATCCGACTCTTGATTTCGCCTCAAGTCAAGTCTCCCATCTCATGAGATGGAACCCTGTGTCAGGCTCCACACTGGGTGTGTAGCCTGCTTGGGGTTCTCTCTCCCCCTCTCCCTCTGCCCACCACCCCCAAATTCCAAAGGCACAAAATGCATTATACAGTGGAAAGTCTCCCTCCGACCCCTGTCTGCCAGCCGCCCAGTTCCCCTCCCAGGGACAACTGCCTTGTCCCTTCCAGGGCCAATTTATGAATGTTCAAGCAAATATGGACATGTTCTCCAACATTTTATTATATAAGTGGTAGCATACTTAACCCAGTTCTGCTCCCTGCTCTTTTTGCTTATCTTGGTCCAACTTACTCCTTGGTGTCTTGAGTAATTTCTGGTCATGGGAGGGATATCTTTAGAAGCTGGCCAGATTTCAGGGACGAGGGAAGTTATCTTATTTCTCACCCTCAGAAAAAGCAATCCCTCTGCCCCTGGCCCAGCCAGAGCTCATGCCATCCTGAGACTGATTGTTCTACTTTTTTCTGCTCCCATATCCCAACAGCTCCAAAAGTTCCCAAGAAGACAGGACCCCGATGTTCCACAGCGATTGCCACGGGTAATAGTGCTTCAGAGTGGGGGCTGGGAAGAGATTCGGAGTATGTGGAAAGGGAGGGTGATGGAGGTAGAAGGATACCGGTGCTATGATTCCTTATGTTCACTCTCCAATTCTCTAGTGCTGAAGAATCAGAAATCGGGCCCTGCTGTTCCTGCCCAGAAGCCTGGAGGTAGGTGACTGACATAACCATTGGGTGAGAGGCTAGGAGCGGGAAGAGAAGAGGTGGTGAGGACTCCCCGAAAAATCTGTTTGGTTCCCTCCCCGTCTGGAGGGGAAAGAGATGTAGCATCAGGTGTGGAGGCCTTAAAGGCTAGGAGGGGGGCAGAGAGGGAAAGCCACGACCTCCCTGACCTTTGCCCTTTCTATGTCCATCTCAGCAGCTGCCCCTCCGATGGTGGGAGGGAGGAAACCCACCAAGCGTCCGGCCTGGGACTTAAAGGGTCAGTTGTGTGACCTAAATGCAGAGCTGAAATGCTGCCGTGAGAGGACTCAGACACTGGCCCAGGAGAACCAACAGCTGCAGGACCAACTCAGGGAGGCCCAACAACAGGCCAAGGCCCAGGGGGCAGAGTGTAGGACACTGGAAGGGGAGTTGGCCAGGGTGCAGGCCCAGGCTGAGCAGGGCCAGCAGGAGTTGGGGAGCCTCAGGGCCCGTGTACTGGAATTGGAAGAGCAGCAGTGCACACAGGAGGGCTTGTTGCGAGAGCTCCAGAAAGAACAGTTAGGATTGCAGGAGGAGCGAAGGGGACTGGCTGCCCGGCTGGAGGAGCAGGAGGTAAGGGCCATCGTCTCAGCAAACGCCAACCCACCTTTCTGGGTTACCCTGAAGTCTCTGGGGGCTGGGAGTCCCTGACCACCTTTCCAGCAGTATTCCTCTGTCCTTCTCCACCCCTGCTCATTCCTGTATCTTGCTTTCTGCCCCACTTCTCCCTACTAGATGGAATTACTTGTCATTTATCAAATGATTTAATCATCTGTTTGGGGCAGTTTGCATATATACTTCCCTCTTTGTGGAATGTTCCCTCCATTCTCTGTCTTTTTGTTGGCGTATTCCTATACTTTTGGGTGTCAGCTTAGATATCATTGTCCTTGTGCCCCTTTTGGCTCTTTCCATAGCACTCCCTAATCTGGGACCCTGGTTCTTATTTTCTTCCTCTTTCCCTGGCAAACTCAGTCCCTGGGGACAGGGACCACCCTACCCCCACCGCACCACATCATCGTGACTTGTCCTTACTCCTCAGTGTCTCACTCTCTCTGTCCATTCTGTTCCGGACAGAGGCGGCTGCAGGCATCAGAAGCAGCTCTGTCAGGCAGCCAGGCAGAGGTGGCATCTCTGCGCGAGGAGGCCACAGGCCAGGCGGCCCTCCTGGTGGAGCAAGGAGAACGTCTCCACGGGCTAGAGATGGAGCGCCGGCGACTACACAACCAGCTACAGGAACTCAAAGGCAACATCCGCGTATTCTGCCGAGTCCGCCCTGTCCTTCCAGGGGAGCCCACTCCACCCCCTGGCTTCCTCCTGTTTCCCTTTGGCCCTGGCGGGCCCGCTGATCCGCCCACACGTCTCAGCGTTTCCCGGTGTGATGAGCGCCGTGGGACCCTGAGTGGGGCGCCAGCCCCCGCCACCCGCCATGACTTCTCCTTTGACCGGGTATTCCCCCCAGGGAGCAGGCAGGATGAAGTGTTTGAGGAGATTGCCATGCTTGTCCAGTCAGCCCTGGACGGCTACCCAGTATGCATCTTTGCCTATGGCCAGACAGGCAGTGGCAAGACCTTCACAATGGAGGGTGGGCCTGGGAGAGACCCTCAGGTGGAGGGCCTGATCCCTCGGGCCCTGCGGCACCTCTTCTCCGTGGCCCAGGAGCTGGGCGGCCAGGGCTGGACCTACAGCTTTGTGGCAAGCTACGTGGAGATCTATAATGAGACTGTCCGAGACCTGCTGGCCACTGGGACCCGGAAGGGCCAGGGCGGGGAGTGTGAGATCCGCCGGGCAGGGCCTGGGAGTGAGGAGCTTACTGTCACCAATGCCCGATACGTTCCTGTCTCCTGTGAGAAGGAGGTAAGGACTGAGGGCCTCTGGGGCTGGAGAACGGGGAAGAGTGGATGGAGGGGGCACAAGGTGCAGGTGGATGGAAAAGGAACAGGAGAGAGTGGGAGGATGGAGGAAGGGCAGGTTGCGTGGGTGGGTGGTCACATCAGTTTTGGCCTATGGGCCACAGGATAGATCTGTCTGCCTTTGGGAACGAGGGGGTAGAGTGGTGCATGTGGCCGAAGGCTTCCTGGCCCCCACCCACTGCATCTCAGGCCTCATTCCTACTACAGCTCTAGCCGCTCTGCTCTCTTCAGGCACTGAAGCTGTCCCTGGCCATCTTGTCTAAGATTGCAACCCTCACCCTACCTTCACACACTCGTTACTCTGCTTTATTCTCCTCCTTGGTACTCTCAGACACACTGTGCATTTTACTTGGTCATTTTGCCTCTTCAGTGACTAGAAAGAAAGCTTAGGGTGCTCTGGTTCCTTGCCACCGACATAGCTGTCTGCTGATTCCCAGCCTGCTTTTGCCCTTTGCTACCCCCACCCCAGGTGGAGGCCCTGCTCCATCTGGCCCACCAGAACCGGGCAGTGGCCCGCACGTCCCAGAATGAGCGATCATCACGTAGTCACAGCGTGTTCCAGCTGCAGATCTCTGGGGAGCACACTGGACGAGGCCTGCAGTGTGGGGCCTCCCTCAACCTTGTGGACCTGGCTGGTAGTGAGCGGCTAGACCCCAGCTTAGCCCTTGGCCCTGGGGAGCGGGAACGCCTTCGGGAAACACAAGCCATTAACAGCAGCTTGTCCACCCTGGGGCTGGTCATCATGGCCTTGAGCAACAAGGTAGGAATGGGGATGAGGGCCAGTGGGACATGGGGTAGGTTGGGGTGCTCCTATCCTAATCACCTATCTCCTCCAACCCTCTAGGAGTCCCATATTCCTTACCGGAACAGCAAACTCACCTACCTGCTGCAGAACTCTCTGGGTGGCAGCGCTAAGATGTGAGTGAAAGGGACAGACAGAAGAGGTTGGCTGGAGACTGTGAGGCTGGGATCAGGGGTGGGAAAGGGGAAATAGTGGGAACCTGGTGCAGGCTCCACCCAGCCACTGATGCTGGGGTTTGGCTCCCACTTCTCTCTCCACAGGCTGATGTTCGTGAACATTTCTCCCCTCGAAGAGAACGTCTCTGAGTCCCTCAACTCCCTACGCTTTGCCTCCAAGGTGCAGTTACCACCAGGCCCAGGCCCTGTCAGGATTCCTGGATGCTTGTAGGCTTCTCCATTCTGACCCTTTAGGGATCCATTCAGTCCTTTAGGCCAAGGGCACATTCATCTGGAAAGGATTCACATTTGCCGGGCATCTGGGACATTACCTCTCTGAATCCATTTTTAGCTATTGGCTTTTGGGGTTTTTATTTTTTAAAAATAGGTAGTTAAGAGGTCAAAACTGTATAAAAGCTATGCACAACATGGAAGTTTTCCTACCTCCCATGTGTACCCCATTCTCCCTACCTGTCCTGGTAGAGGCAGTCATTTTTGTCATTTATCATTTTACTTATCCTTTCAGTGTTTCTTCTTGCAAATAGAAGCAACATGCATCTTATTCCCTTCCCTCTTCTATAGAAGACATCTCTTTTTTCATATATGTATATTGTTCTGTACTTTGTTTTGCTAAACAGACATTCCTGGGATTACTCTCCCACCAGCACACAGAGATTACCCCATTATTTTGATGTCTGCCTAGGACTCTGCTGTGTGGCTGCACCAAAGTTTATCCACCAGTTCCCTCTACTGGACACTTGGGTTGTTTCCACTCTTTTCTCTATTACAAACAAGGCCACGTTGACTAGCCTTATACATAGATGTCATTTTGTATTTGTTCAGTTATAGCTATCTAGGGAGATTCCTGGAAATGGGATTGTTGACCTAATGATTTCACTTAGTGATTTTTGGAACAATGATCATACCTAGATTTGTTATTTCATCAAGGAGTTTAATTTTCTCAGTAACTTTACATTTATTAGTCTTGTCTCTTCTACAAAGAATTTTTCCCTTACGATTTATTTGGTTACTCTGAAACCTAGTCTATATAGCAGCAAAGGCAGGGTAAATGTAGGATTTTTTTATTTTTTTAAGATTTTATTTATTCATGAGAGACAGAGACAAGCAGAAGGAGAAGCAGGCCTCATGCAGGGAGGCTTGATCCCAGGTCTCACATCACATCCTGGGCCAAAGGCAGGCGCTAAACCGCTGAGCCACCCAGTAATGCCTGTAGGATTCTTTATCGATTTTCACTATTAGAAGTTGATGTCTTGGCAACTTCCAAAGGTGACCAAGTGAGTTTTGGTTTGGGAGGTGTCATTTTGCAGATGCTTATGGATTTGATATATATCCTTTATAGTCATTATTTCTTCTGATGTTCAGATTGCCCCATCATTGGCCAATGGGAACTCCTTTAAGTTGCCTCCTGTGTCCTTTAGACAGAACCCAGTAGTCTTTATTCTAGACTCATCTTGTACCTATCCTGTGTAGACTTGGGATCATTTATTTTCCAAGGAGCCTTTGTTCTTAAATGAGTGTTGTTCTATCTAACTTATTAACCAGTAAATGGTAGGAAGGCTTGGGGTGTCCGGGCCATGGTATTACTGGAAATGGAGGCTCCATCTATCTCTGCTCCTGTGTGTGGCTTCTATCCCTTCTCAGGCCTCTTCACTTCCTCCAGTCCTGGTGTGGTTAGTGGGCATAGACCTAACCTTAACTGAGACCAGGCTGAATCTGCCTTCAGAGCCTTTGTTTCAGTATTTTCTGAGGGCAGCCCCAATATTGGGGGTGGGAGGTGATCTTGGAGAAAACTGTTATTTTTGGTTACTCAGAAAACATTTTTATTCTGTCTAAAACCTCTGCCCGCAGGTGAACCAGTGTGTTATTGGTACGGCTCAGGCTAACAGGAAATGAAGACAGATCCAGATCCTCTGTGTTTGGGAAGGGGGGGTGGGGGTGGCACTGAAGGATGCTTTGTTGGGGGGAGGGGCGCTGTGTGACCTGGGTCTATCAAATAAAGAACAGGTTTTTTTCTTTAAATAAAGGTTTTGTTAACAATGGCCCGTATCTGTAAAAATGGGAACTGTGGATCGTCTACTCTGCCGAGTATTTGTGTTTTGCAGAGCAAGGGTTTCAGCTTTTCTCTCTACCTGGCTATCTCCTGGAGTCTAGATGGTTACCCTGGTTGTCCGCCTCTAGGAGATGTGCCCACTGGCCGACCGCCGTCACTGGTTTGCCGCAGGCCACCCAGCTCCACGCGGCGAGCTCGTCCGGTGGGTGCGGGAAAGTGGGAGCCCGAGTCCAGAGGCCGGGCCGGCGAGCCCTCCCTACAAACTGCTGGCTCTCCCTCCCGCTCTTTCCTTGCCTTCCCATTCGAAGAGCCGGGGCCGGCCCGCCCGCTGCCCATTGGCTGGCTCTCGGCGGCGTTACCGCCTCGTTACTAGCTCTCCCGGTCCGTGTACCCGCCCTCCAAGCGCTGGGTGGGCTGCACGCCCGCTGACTCGCTCGCGCCAACCGCCAACGGCCACCGCCCGGTAAAGGAGGGGCTCGGTCCACCCAGGTGCCGCGCGCGGGAGGGGCCACGCATGCGCAGAAGCGCGGCGGCGGTGTGGCGGGGGGAGACTTACCGCGGGGAGGGCGGGGCCGGGGCAAAGGCGGGAGGAAGGCGGGGCACTCGAGGGAGGAGGGCGTGGCGGGGGCGACGGGACGGGTGAATGGGGGGCGGGGTCGCGAACTGGGGCCGAGGGGCGGGACTTGGAGTGACCATGGAGGTTGGGGGGGCAGTTAACGCATGTGGCAAGGGGCGGGGGCCAGGCTGGAGGCCAGCTGCGGGGAAGGGGGGGAATCCCTGCTGCCCCGAGGGCGGATCTCCCTCCGAGGAAGGGGCTGCAGGGATTCCCTCTCGCTCTGGGTCTTGACTTTCCACCCGCCCCAGCCGCGGGGAGGCCGCCACCCGTTCGGCGCGCTCCAGGCCCGTCGGAGGTGAGGGAGGTGGGGTGAGGTGGTGCCCGCCCCCCCACCGGCTCCTCCTTCCCCCCAGTCCTCCCCTCCCACCTCCCTCCCCCCGAGCCGGTTTGTCCCTCCCCTCCCCTCCCCTCCTTCCCCCCGCCGCCTCCTCCTGCCGCTGCCGCTGCTTTGGCTGCTGCGTCATACGCCCCAGAGCTGCCGGGACGGAGGGGCTGGGCCTGGGGACCCCCCGGCCCTTGCCTGCCCGCCCTCCGACGCCCAGACGTGCCCTCCCCGCGCGGGGGGTTCGTCTCGGTCTCCCACGTCTGCCTCTGCCCGGCTCCCGGCGGCCCCAGCTGTCACTGGTAAGGAGGCGGCGGGAGGCGCCCGTGGGGGGGCAGGGAGCCGGGGGTCGGCGCGCAGGGCGCGGGCGGGAGAGCCTCGCCGCCCAGGCATCGGCTCGCGCTGGGCTGACTCAAGTCCCCTCTCGGACTCGCTGTCCTGGGGAGTAGAGACTGGGACTGGGACACGCCCCCCTCCCAGGGCACTCAAGGAAGTTATCTAACCCCGGGGACAGGGAGCCCCGTATTTGAGGGTGACCTGACATAACCTGGCATGGGGATTATTGTTCTGGAGACACAGGGGCCCGGGGAGGCAGCCGTTTCTAATTTGGAAAACATTTCCAGAAAAGCTCCCAAAACACATTCTCTGGGTAGCAGAACACCCCAATTACGGTATCTCTAAACAGAAGGTGACAGTAGAAACTGAATGGTAACCTTTGCTTCTGCAACCATCATTCCTCTTAAAATCTCAAGGCCAGGATACAGTATCCCAGGGGAGCTCTGGAAGCTGGGAAACTAGAGAACTAGGTTGGGGGGTGGGGGGTGTTAGGGAGAGGAGAGCCAGTCACCAGAGTTGGAAAAGCTGGAGTCATGAAGCTTGGGAGGGGTGCTGTGTGATTTCCTATCCAGGTATTTCATATTTGGAGACTGGTAGCACAGCTGCTTGAGTCCTTGAGGCAAAGAAAAATGGGGACAGTTTCTCAACATTCATAACCTTCTCCCATCCCACTTCTGGATAGCCCCCCCCCCCAGGATGCAATGGCACAGCCCCCCCGGCTGAGCCGCTCTGGTGCCCCCCCACTTTGGGACCCAGCCTCCCCTGCTCCCACCTCAGGCCCCAGGCCTCGACTTTGGGAGGGTCAAGATGTGCTGGCCAGGTGGACGGATGGACTGTTATACTTGGGGACCATCAAGAAGGTAAGACCTTTGACTTCTGACTTATTATCTTCCCCCATTCTCCTTATGTAGTTCCGATTCCTGTTTCATCTCCTGTGCTCATCCATTCCAGGTGGACAGTTCCCGGGAGGTGTGTCTGGTCCAGTTTGAGGACGATTCCCAGTTTCTGGTTCTATGGAAAGACATTAGCCCTGGTGAGACCTTAGAGGCCCAAATACATGCATGCTGTGGAAAGCAGAAACCGGGCTTGGGGGATGTAAAGGGGGCTTAAGGACAGGCCCCACAACACTGTTCCCTCACAGCTGCCCTCCCCGGGGAGGAACTCCTCTGCTGTGTCTGTCGCTCTGAGACTGTGGTCCCTGGAAACCGGCTGGTCAGCTGTGAGAAGTGTCGCCACGGTGAGAGGGCAGGATACCTAAACGGTCTAGCTTGCCCTGAACCTTCCAGGCTGCCTCTAAGTCTTCCCTCCACCACTGATCCTTAGGCCACCTGTCCTGACTGAGTCCCCAAGCCACTGCTCTGGCCAGTCTCCTCAACTCTGTAACTTCTCTTCCAGCACAGGGAGAAATAGCCATGGAATCAGGAGGTGTGGGCTTTGTAGACAGAGGATGGTTCAAATACACCTTTACAAACCATAAAACCTTGGGCAAATTTCCAAGCCCCTAGGAGCCTGTCCCCTCACCTGTAAAATAAGGGTAACTTATCCACTGCAGCCAGATCACAAAGATGAAATGAGGTGGCCCAGACTCCTCCTATCCCAGTCACTAGCACACACAGGTATATTGTGCAGTAAATGGTCTACCATCAATATTATCATTATTCAGCTTATCACCAGGACTGCCATGTTCCAAGGGCCCCAGCCCCTGGAGAGGGAGAGGGCACATCCTGGGTCTGTCGCCAGTGTGTCTTTGCCATTGCCACCAAGGTAAGGTCACCATTCTGTGAGAGCCTCCCCCACCACCTCTCCCAAGCCTTCCTGTTCCCTACCCCTCTGAGGTGGCCTGTTTCCTCCTTGCAGAGGGGGGGTGCACTGAAGAAGGGCCCCTATGCCCGGGCCATGCTGGGCATGAAGCTGTCACTGCCCTATGGACTAAAGGGGCTAGACTGGGACGCTGGACATCTGAGCAACCGGCAGCAGAGCTACTGTTACTGTGGTGGCCCTGGGGAGTGAGTAAATGAGGGACAGGGGTGGAAGAGTGGTGGGGAGGGAATGAATGATGGAGTGGGTGGGGGGATCCTGGGGAATGAAGGAGAAAGAATAGGATGAAGGGAGTGCTGAAGAAAGCAGAAGTAGGTGGTGAGTAGGGTTTGGGGCCATTCAGGTCGGGGTAGTGTCTGGAGGTCACCAGTCCTGTGTTCCCTCTCAGGTGGAACCTGAAAATGTTGCAGTGCCAGAGCTGCCTGCAGTGGTTCCATGAGGCCTGCACCCAGTGTCTGAGCAAGCCGCTCCTCTACGGGGACAGGTGAGATGGGGCTGGCTCCCTGGGAGCCAAGGGAGAGCACTCTTGCCCTGCTCCACCCTCTCAGGCCCCATGCTGCCTCAGCTCCATGTCTCCCCAGCCTCTGAAGCTGACCTCCCCTACGCACCCCATCCTTACTCATAAGTCCTCCATGCTCTCTCCCCCTCGCCCACTTCCAGGTTCTACGAGTTCGAATGCTGTGTGTGTCGGGGTGGCCCTGAGAAGGTCAGGAGGCTACAGCTTCGCTGGTGAGTTGGCACCACCTCCACATGGCTCCTCTCTCAGCACCCCCAGCCTCCCACTTTGGGGCTCTCCAGGCTTTTGTATTGACAGATCATTATTTCTCCAGGGTGGATGTGGCCCATCTTGTCCTCTATCACCTCAGCGTTTGCTGTAAGAAAAAATACTTTGATTTTGACCGCGAGATCCTCCCCTTCACCTCTGAGAATTGGGACAGTTTGCTCCTCGGGGAGGTAAGGGATATTGAGGCTTTGGGGGTGAGAGTGGAACAGGGAACGATGGAGAAAGGGAGAAGGGAGAGGGACTACTGCTCCCCTGATCCCATTCTCCTTTCCCAGCTCTCAGACACCCCCAAGGGAGAACGTTCTTCCAAACTCCTCTCTGCTCTCAACAGCCACAAAGACCGGTGAGTTGGAAGGAGGTTCAGAAAGAAATGCAGAGGCAAATATGGAAGCCTGGGAGGGAAGGGGCTGCGACTCACCTGGAAGATCATCTCTGAAAAAGACTGAATAATAGCATCAGAGGGGCCCTTTATTATGGCACTGACCCTATATCATTTCTTTTCTCACCCCAGTTTCATTTCAGGGAGGGAGATTAAGAAGAGGAAATGCTTGTTTGGTCTCCATGCTCGGATCCCTCCCCCTGTGGAGCCCCTTACTGGAGACAGAGCCCCCACCAGGTCACTGGTCCAGGGAGGATGGGGAAGTTCTCAGGGTATTAATGGAGGGAGGCATATGTATGGATATGGGGAGGTCTTTGGGGTGTCCGGGAGGGGGCTGGGGGGATAAGGAGGCCTCTTACAGCTTCCCTTCAGGGCAGGGCCCTGGGGGAGGGGTCTCACGTCCCCTGGGGAAGCGCCGGAGGCCGGAGCCAGAGCCCCTGAGGAGGAGGCAGAAGGGGAAAATGGAGGAGCTGGGGCCACCCTCAGCAGTGCGCAATCAGCCCGAGCCCCCGGAGCAAAGGGAGCGGGCTCGTCTGCAGAGGGCACTGCAGGTACAGGGGCAGGGGCACCCCCGTGGAGCCAAATGGTGGTGTGGGAAAGAATCAAGGATTCCCTCTCAGTCCTTTGCTCCTTCTTCTAGGCCTCAGTGTCTCCACCACCCCCCAGCCCTAACCAGAGTTACCAGGGCAGCAGCGGCTACAACTTCCGGCCCACAGACGCCCGCTGCCTGCCCAGGTCAGTGCTCCTTCCCCATTCCAAGCAGATGCATGTACCCTTAGAATCTCTCCTTCGATTGTCTACATCTTCTGGACTTTCTTACCCAGAATTATTGTCCGTCTCCCACTTGGCTACCCACTTCTTATCTTAGAGATACTTCCAGAACCAATGTCTGGACCCCTAGTGTTCTGGGGATGGGGATTCCTTGGGGCTGTTTGAGCTTTGCTCTTCTTCGTGGGAGAGGATCCTGTTCCCCTGCTTCGGGTTCTGACTTTCCCCCTCCCCAAACCCAGCAGTCCCATCCGGATGTTCGCTTCCTTCCACCCCTCTGCCAGCACCGCAGGGACCTCTGGGGATGGTGAACCCCCAGACAGGTGAGATTCTACCCCTTTACCTGTGCCACCCTTCTTCACCTGTGTGCTCTTAAGTTCCTCAGTCTCTAATGTGATATCTTGGTGCCTCTGATTCACATGTCAGCTCCATTTTTGGTCCATCCTTACCAGCATCTGGACTCACGATTGCCTTCTCTCCCTAGGTCACCCCTGGAACTTCACATTGGTTTCCCCACAGACATCCCTAAAAGTGCCCCCCACTCGATGACTGCCTCATCTTCCTCAGTCCCAGCCCCCTCCCCAGGTCTTCCTAGACGCTCTGCACCCCCTTCTCCCCTGTGCCGTAGTTTGTCTCCTGGGACTGGGGGAGGAGTCCGAGGTGGGGTTGGTTACCTCTCCCGAGGAGACCCTGTCCGGGTCCTTGCTCGGAGAGTACGGCCTGATGGTTCTGTGCAGTACCTGGTTGAGTGGGGAGGTGGGGGCATCTTCTGAACAGCCTGCCTCTGCCTACTTCCCCATTCACACACACCGGCACTTTCATACCCTGACCTCTGACCTCACCTACAGCTGGGATGTACCTGGGGAGGTAGGGGGATAGTTCTCCCTACTGCCCAGGCTGGAATCCAGGTGAGGGGTCTGGGGAAGAGGCTCTCTCTTCTCTATTCCCTTCCCGATTCCTGACCCTTCCTCCATCCCTCTTCCTATTTCCTTTGATGTTATTTTGTTACAGCTTTTTAAATATTTTTTAAAATTATTTAACCCCTGGGGACGGAGACTGAGGAGGGGGGGAATGATAAAGGGTCCCAGACTCTGTATGATTGAAATAAAGGTAAATAAACAAATCTAGCAGCCCTGGGTCATTCTGGAAGATGAGAACACCAGGGACTAGAAGCACTTCTAATCTTCCCAGCCAAATTCACATATGTGACAAGGAAAAAGGCAGAGTGAACTACAGACAGGATTTATTAGGGGCCCAGTCATCACCTGGAAGTCAAGGGCATTGAAGTATACGAGGGGAACATGGCAGAGACAGGGCTCATCACGGTAGGGCTGTGCTGGAGTCTGAAACTGACTCTGTAACCTGGCGCACCCAATGCAGGTATGGGGAGTTCCCCTGCTCCACAGGCAATGCAATCACTTCAGCCACTTCATAAGGGTGCACAGAACTGTGGGAAAATGGGAGGGGATCACTCAAAAAGATATACCTAAAGGAGCCCCCACCCCCTGAGACCACCCAGCAAGTGCCCGACCTCCACACGGTCATGGCTGCCCACGTCAAAATTCTCACCGAATGAAATCTGTCAGAGCTGGAACCAAGGAACTTTGGGTTTTAATCATCTAAGAGGCAAAGATAAACATGACTGAATCAAGGAGTGGGGTTGATTCCAGGATGTCAGATGAGGGAGAGGGATGAGAGTCAGGGAATTGAGGTTTCATCGGATGGGAAAATGTTTCTCACCATCAGCACCTCATTGTCTTCCTCAATCTTTCCTTTCCACTCATAGCTGAAAAGGTTAGGGAGAGTGTTTAGGGAGCAAAGATTGTCCTCAAGGAAAAGTACTGCCCATAAGCCCCTAGAATTAGGTTAACCCCCCAACTTCTGACTCACATGGATGTAATCTGAGGGATGAGGTTAACGCAGGCTGCCAGCCGCTTCTCCACCACAGCCCTGAAGGTGAAGACAAAGCCCCATTCAGAACGCCCTATGACCTGACTTTCTGCACTGGCAGCCCAGAGACAGGGTTCCAAAGCCAGAGATCAGGCAGGAAGCTAGGGAGCGCACTCTTTCCCACCCCCAACTCTCTCCGGTCATGATCGTCCTTCCTCGCTCCACACTGAGGTCCCCCACCTGGCGATCTCCTTGGCGACCTTCTCGTTGGGGCAGGTGACAAAGGCTGCAGAGACCGAGCCGGGAACATAGCCGGAGCTTGAAGCCGGCGAAGGCTGGGACGGGGGGCTTCCTGAAGCCATGGACAGCAGAGCTCGGGGTAGCAAAAGAAGGCGGGAGGCCACAGGCAACAGCGCCGGCATCCAAAGGAGAGACAGGAGCAGAGCGGCCTGAGAGCACGAAATGAACCTGGTGTCACCCCACAAGAACCCGAGGAAGTCGCATCTCGGGAATCCTTCCCTTGAATAGACAGGCCCTGCCCACCCTCTTCTGCACACCGAAGGAAAAGGTCCCTGAAGCTGGAAGAGAAACTGGGGAAACTAAGGCAGACTCGGCTTTCACTCCCCCCTCAGGAGCCAACCGCTAGGATTTTGGGTGAGGGCGGTGGTCGAGGCTTCGAGGACCGGAAGGGGCGGGGCCGGCCACTCACCCCTCCGCCGAGCAGGATTGCGGGAGCCCGCCCTCCCCTCATGCAGCCTACGCTGGTAGAGAGTTGACTATCAAAAACCGCACGGAACGCCGAGAAGGGACCCCAGACCCAGGAATAGCGGCCTCTTCTTACCTGGGCAGCACCCACGTGATAAGAAAACCGCACACACCACGTGACAGTAGAAGCCGGCCCCGAACCTCCAGAGCCCGCCAATCCTGGCCCTCACAGGGCCCGGTTTGCCCCGCCTCCTGCTGGGGGAGGAGCGAAAGGGAATTTGGCCAATCGTCAGCCGGATCTGCAGACGTGCACGGAAATGGCACGCGCGTTTCCGAGTAAACCGGAAACAGCCAATTGTGGCCTGAGGAGAGCCGCAGCGGCGTTCCACTGTCACGTGACGGGGCCGGTCGTCTTCAGGCGGCCGTACCTCAATGAGCTGCGCGAGGAGGCCAATCACAGGCCAGCCCCGCAGGCCACGTGACGAGAGACCTGGCGCTAGAAAAGGGGGCTGGAGACCCCGCCGACTAGATGCGTCAGGTTGTGGCGTGGGGAATCGTCCTTAACCCCCAGAGTGTGCCCAGTTACAGCCCCTGCACTGTTCCCGAGGCCTTAAAGAGTGGGCGGGTCTGAGAAGATTGAACTTCAGGGGTGGAGAGCGCCCCCTGCCTCTTTGGTCAGGACTGACATATGCCGGGTTGGGTGGTGAACAACGATAATCTGAGGAGCCAGCTGGCCCTGGGCAGGGGATAGTGATTAGGCAGGGATGGGCAATGCAAGACGATGGTCAGGTGGGAAAGATGCATTTTAAAAGGACAGTGAGACCCTGTAAATGGGATAAAGGGTGATGAAAATGGGGCCGAGGGCAATTCAGCCTTCCTAATTGAAACCCCAAAGGAGGAGACAGACTGGTGAAGGGGGGAGCCGAGGAGAGAGAGGGCTTCGGGTTGGGGATATGGAGGACACAAGGAAGCAGTGATAGTCCTTTTGTCCCTTACCCTCTCTCCTATTTAACTCTCCAGGACTAGTATACCTCTGAGTCTTGGGTCTCCTTCCCGTAACCCATCCCCCTAGGAGCCAGGACCTGTCCTACATAACTTCCCTGGGGCCCAGGCACATCCAGTGACCCAAAAATGGAGAGAGGGGCCAATGAGAGGAGAGACAGGTGGGAGGGAGGCAGCAGGGGAAAGCCTCTTGCCACTCCCCCTACCCAGTATTCCCCCTCCTTTCAAGTTTTGGGGTCTCCACCGGCTGGGTGGGTGTGGCTGGGTGTTTATCAGAGTTCTCTCATAGCTGCATCTCGGAGGATGGGGTCTTCCTGAACTCTGTCTTTGGGTTTGGAGTTTATGAGCTAGATCTCTGTAGGGCCTTTCAGTATTTGCAGTGGGATCTTTTTCCAGACCAAGTTTCCTTTTTGTTTTGGGAGTTTCTGTGTTGCCGGGAGCTTGATGACTCTTTTTCGAGGTCTTTCAAACTCTTTATGAGCTTGGGGGTCTCTGCATTTAACATCTCTGAGCTACATGAATATCTCTCCCTGCCCCTCTGCCTTCTCCCCATCCTCAAACCCCAGGTCTGGAGTTTCTGTCTCTTGAGTTATCAGTCTCAGAGTCTGCAGTTTCTTTTCTCTGCGATTTAAGTCTGGGGTCTGGTATCTCTCTGGATCTGATCTCCTAAGAACTAATTCTAGCTCTGTTTTTTTCTGAATCTGGATCTCATCTTTTTCTTTGACTCTAGGTCTCTGATCTTGGTTCCTGAAATCACTGTCTGATTCTAGAGTCTAAGACTTCTGTGGCTGTGGAGAACCTTTTTGAAACTGGACACTCATATTTTGACCTCTGACCCTTCCCTCAATGTGGGACCCGGGGTCTTTTTTTTTTTTTTTTTTCCTGAGATCAGAGTCTCTTTTCCTCTAGATTTCAGGTTTTGTGCCTCAGATTAATCCCCACCCCTGGGGTGGGCAACAAGATATCTGTGGTCTGGGGTCTGTCAGTCTCGGGATCTGAGGTCTACATCTTTAGAACTGTATTCTCTCTCAGTCTGGTGTGTTTTTGAGTCAGGGGTCTCTCTCTCTGGTTCTCACTCAGTAGGGGTGGGGGCTGCAGAGTCTCTCTCTCCTCCTCCTCCTGCTCTCTCCTCTCTTGCTCGCTCCCCCGCCCCCCCCCTCTCTCCCGGCTGCCGCTGCTGCCGTTGGCTCCTATTCTCCTCCTCCTCCTCCTCTCTCCTCCTCTCCGCTCCTCTCCGCTCCTCTCTCCTCCTCTCTCCTCCTCCTCCTCCTCCTCCTCCTCCACCTCCTCCTCCTTCTCCCCCTCTCTCTCCCCCTCTTTCTCTCTTCTCTTTCTCCCCCGTCCCCCGCCCCCTCCCCCCCAGGCCTGATGAGCAGGTCTCGCGCCTCCATCCATCGGGGGAGCATCCCCGCGATGTCCTATGCCCCCTTCAGAGGTACGGTGGGGAGGGGAGGGGGAGGGCCTGTGAGGGGGGGCAAGAGGGGGAGGGGCAGGGGCGGGGGGGGGGGTGCAGAGCCGGGGCCAGGGAGGGGAGGGGAGCAGCTGAAATGGAGGGAGAGAGAGGACCGGGAAGGTTGGGATGGGAGCAGTGGGGAAGGAGAGATTGGAGGCCAGAGGGTAGGGGTAGCTAGGGGCCGTAGGCGCCAGGAAACAGGCTTTGAAGGGGGCTGAGGGGAAAATGATGAAGAAGAAATAGATCGCCAGAAATGGTGGGAAGAGAGAAGGATAGGGTTGGGGGAAGAGCTGCAGAAATAATTTGGAGGTAGGAGCTGAGAGATGAGGAAAATATTACGGAAATAGGAGGACAGAGTCTTAGGAGAAGGGCTAGGAGGGAGAAATGAAAACATAGGGGTGAAAAAAGCAAAGAAGATGGGGGGTAGAATACGGTGGAAGGGCTCAGAGGATGGTAGGGGGTTGAAGAAGAGAGGAGGATGGAGGGAAAGAAGAAGGGGCCAGATGGAGAGAGAGGGAGGCAGTGGGGGGGGGGGAAATGGAGGGTCCAGATGGAGGGAAGAGAGGAGAGAGGGAATGGGCTGGGGGAGGATAGACCAGGGCAGGGGGAGGGCCAAATTATGTGTGTGTTTATTGAGGGGGGGAGGGGGCAATAGAAGTAAGATTTGAGTGATGGAAGTAGAGGACAGGTTAGGACCCTGCCCTAGACTCTGACCCTCCTTAAGGCCTTTGAGCAGTGAAATGTATCCCCTGGGGTCCTATCCGCTCCCTTCACTTCACCACTTTTACCCCCCTCCCCCACCTCCAGTCCCTATTACCATTCCCCCTCCCTCCTCTGGTGTCCCTCACCTATATCTTTCCCCCCATATGGTGTCCGTTCCTTATATGAGTCCCCCTCTGTCCTTCCCTCATATCAGTCCTTTCTCTGGTCCATTCTCTCTCCCTCTGTTCTATCTGGTAGCTCCCTTATATCTCTACCACCTCTTCACCTGTCCTTCATGATCCCGTTGTCTAAATACCCCTGTTAGGTGCACCACATTTCCTCTGCCCCATGTCCAGTTGGGCTCTTCTGGTATATTCCCTTGTCCCCAGAAATTTACTCTCATTTCTGCATTCTTTTCTCTGAAATCTATCCCTGTGATTTATCTCCCAGGCCATCCTCTGTCCCTGCCTCACTCCCCATCTTGTCACTGCAAATCTATGCCTACCCACTTTCCCCTAACACCTCAGCTCTTACCACCCATTCCTCTTTTCTTGTCTCCTCTACCTCCTGGGGTGTTGGAGATTTGGGTGCAAAGAAGCAGGTTTTGATGGTTGGAACAGGGCCTACAAGGCATCCCCATCTGATCCCTGTGGGACTTCTTATCCTAGTAAATTTTTCCCTTTTCTTAGCTGTGTTGGTCTGTCTCTTGCATCTGCCTCTCAGAATCATCCTTACTTAAGTCTAGACAGTATGTGTGTGGGGTGTGTGTCTCCAGAGTGGCTTCTAAGCTAAGTTCCCTGTACCCTTCCCTGCTCCCCAGGAGGAAGGTTTCCCCTGAACTCTAACCTGCCTCCCTGTGGCTGCAGCCTGAACCAGCCCCTCCAAGAATTATTAGATATATCAACAGATTTCTCCTCTGGGAGTCCTCAGAGTCTGAGTGCAGTGGGCATGTTGCCTGCAGTGTGTGCAGTCTCAGAGCCCAGGGACTGGTGATCTCTGTATCTGGCGGGTATCAGATGGGATCTCTGAGATGGCTCTAAGATAGTGAAAGTCTCAAAGTGTTGGGGTTTCTGAAGATTGTATGCTAGGGGTTCATCTCTGACTCTTATTTGCAGTTTGGGTAAATTTGAAGAACACGTTTGTAGATGGAAAGGGGCTACACTTTTCAAAAAGTTTCCTATTTAACGTATTCAGTTACAGTGAAGTTTAAGGGCCAAGTTATTTTCCTGCACTGTACTCATAATTAATTATCTTGTAAAGGTGACAGAATTTGATTCTTCTTCCACTAAATTGTTTCTCACTCTGATACCTTAAACCCATTTTCTATCCCTTTAATCTCACTAATTTGATTTCCTTCTCACTTCCATAAGGCCTGTTGTTCCCTGTGATGGTGTGTGGCATTGGGATTTAAAAGAGAGACAGTTTGCAGGGATAGGGGATTGGGAAGAACAGCTAAGTTGGGTAAGATGCCCCTGGGGGCACCTTTGAGCATGGGCAATGCTTGGTCTACTGTTCTTTTCTAGAAGTTTGTCTGCATCCCCAGCTTGAGCTTTTGGACGCCCCCTCTCTATCCCAGGCCTGGATCTTCCTTTCTTTCTTCCCCTTTTTCCCTCAAGCTCCTCACTGTGCCTTGGAGAGGTTCCTCACCTGTGGAGTTGGCTTTCATCCTGTCTATGGAGACTCAGTGAAGAGAGGGGGCAGTATAGAATCTTTGATCTCTGGGCATGGAGTGAGAGAAGAGATTGATTCAGTCTCTGTTCCTTCAAACAAAGGCATATTTCCTACTTCCTCACTCTCTAGCCGTGCCCCCCTATAGCCAGATGTTGACAAGACCTATCCTCCCCCTACCATCAGAAGAACCAGAACTTTCCCTAGAGGTTGAGCAGGGTTGGGCTAGGGGAGGAGAGAGCTGAGAATAGAGGAGAGGCAGAAGAGGCCCTCTCCTGTCTCTGACTCTGAACAGGTCATCTCCCTCCCTT